ATTCACCCAACGGGCAGTTACGGACCCCCCGAAGCAACTTCCAGCAACCCTGAACTCTGGTGTATATCCCGACGGTCCACCCGTGCCCGTTCGGTCTACGAAGCTACTTAAATACGTGGATACAACCGAGGTTGCACGAGGTCCATATGACACCCCAGGACATTGGTTGGTAACGGCTGCTAAGTTGGTGGTTGAAGGTGGTAAAATTGGCTTGCAAGTGAAATTTGCATTATTAGATTATTCACAAGAATGATAATGTTATTTTGCTTTCTATTTTATTGTTTTACCTATAAATGTTAGGAGAGTATGTACTATAATGTAAGAAATATACGATAAATGTCGTCTTGTACAAAATCAAAAACTACTGAATTTCGTGGTCGAGTTGTACGTGGTATCCCTTGTAGTTTGATGATTGTTCTGAATTTGTTTACAAACTGAATCTATATTTGTGATTCTGATGTGTTCGTGAAAAGGCAAACAGATACTAAGAGTATTCAACCTCTCTATCCTCAATTGAGTGGTTGAGCAAGCTAGCCATTGAACTCGTTAAAACAGCTAGACCACTACTTGACAAGTTTTTTTTTTCGAGTTCGTCGCCAGCCAAGTACGTGTCGTCAACCATCCAATAACTATTAGTTCATTGCTTTCACTCCCAGTAGTGAATGCAAGCCAGACGAGCTACGAATCGAGAAGGAAACAAGTCAATGATCAATCTTTACCAACTAACTTATCGAACGCAAGTTTGGATCGAAGTAAAACTCATGTCATTACTTGGTCTCTGATGTGTAAAATATTGAACTTTTATTTCTTTGAAATAGTTGTAAGTTTAAAACGGGGATGAATCGACTCTGGAGCATAAATTGATGTGCAACATTTCACTTGAGTTTTTAAGGAGGAAGTCTGAGGTTCGAATTCGCTGAGACTGCTAAGTAAATTCACGTTGGGACCTAACCCTAGTGCTGGAAACAGGGTGGAAAATCCTCGACTTAGTTAGGGATGGGGCTGAGAAACCAGACTCAAATCGAGGGCAGGGATCATGGTCCCCGCCCAATTTTAGTTTTTTTTTTTTCATATTAAAAGCATCAATTTCTTAAATAAAAAATAAACAAGAGGTTAAAAGGGGATTGTGGCCATCCCCACCCATCCAGTCACATCCGAGCTCTATGAGGTCTCGTCGAGAACTGGTCCCATTGTCATTCCTATCCAACCTTGGTGGACAGTACTTGTGCAATTGGTACTAGCATTCCACTTAAGTTCCTCTTAAGTGAGAGGTCAAAAATTCGAGACGGGAAGTAAATTCACGTTATGGCCAAACCTCTCATAGAAAAAACTTAGAAATTGTGCACAGAATGATCTAGAGAGAGGCTTGTAGGGGAAAGTTCGTGGTCTTTACAAAAATGTGCATATTATTGTAACTACCACTGACCTTTCCCCATATTAGGTGTCATTTCAAAGCGTGCTTGTAAAATATGTGGAATAAACTATCTCACAAACTAGATAATTAATGATTGATTGATAGAGGATAAGAATACGACAAAAAAAGTGGGGTAAGTGCGACAAAAAAAATGTTATTTTCTTCCTCATGGGCTTGCTTTGGTGCTTGCTGTGCTTTTGTTTTTCTTCTCTGAACCAGGTTTCACGGGGTGCCTTTCTTAGTCTACTCCGCTAGACTACCTTCCGCCTTCTCTCGGTCGTTTCGAGATGAAAGAAAATTTGATTACAATTTGTAGAAATCTTGTAACATGAAATTGAAATGCATTGAATGTAAATTGATTATTGATTGCTTGAAAGCTAAAAATTACAATTGATGAAAGTAGAAAATTATAATGGCTAGTGCAGGGGACGAACACTAGAAAACTTGAAAGATTATTTAAAAGACTAGCACCCCCTATAATAGCATTCTAAACAAAAACCTAAGTGATATGAGTAGACGTTTAAATGCTAAGGAATCATACTAAATGTTTACAATATGCGGTCGAAATTGGGCAAACTGTGTCTGCGATTGGGTCAAGGGGCTAGTTGAAGTTGCGGTTCTTGACATTCTCCCCCATTTGTTTTGGCGACGTTCTCGGAGCCATTGATAAATTATATGCTTCAATTAATGGTTTGAAGGTTCCAAGTACTTTTGATGATATTTCCTGAAAGCTCGAGTAGTTCGATGTTCAAGAATCTCTTCAACAACCTTCTTTCCAGCTCTTTTCAGTTCAACACACAGGTCGCTTTGGCTAATTTCTGGATGTGTCCTCCTTGTCGGCAAAGTATGACTTAAGTACACCAACATGAAGGACCTTGTGGATTTTGCACCACGAAGGGAGTACAACTCTGTATGCGATTNACAGTATGAGGGAGTAACGGTTGCAGGCCAGTAGCAATCTCAAAAGAACTCTTATTGGAGTAAGAGCTCTTTTGGACATTGAAACACATCTGAGCCGCATCCAAAAGTTTCTTCCAAAAGTTTCACCCAATTCTTCTACGGAGTTGAGATAAAGTGCCGAAGATATTCTTCCAATATAGAATTGAAGCGCTTCACTTGTCCGTCAAATTGTGGGTAAAAACTAGAACTCATGCTCAAATCTGAACCAAGAAGTTTGAACAACTCGGTCCAAGATATGCTATTAAATCGAGGATCCTGATTGCTAACAATATCCTCAAGCAGTCCTCAGTATTTGACAATATGTTTGAAGAAGAGTTGAGCTGTCCCTTCGGCTGATATATACTTGGGCGCTCCAATGAAAGTTGCATACTTAGATAGACCGTCTACCACGACGATGGTGACAAAATCTCCAACTTTTGGCAATACAGTAATATAGTCCATTGATACATTCTCGAATGGTCTAGTTGGGACGGAAAGGGGCTCCAGCAAGCCTGCCTTTTTTTTTTTTTTTTTTATGATTTGCCTTATCTTGCTGACAAACAGTAGCCCGACGACTAAAAGTATCATCAACATGATTACTAGATCTGGGATGGTACTCTAGCATAAAATTGAACTTGAAAGAAGCTCCTGCCAATGAGCCTGTTTGCTTGATAATTTCGATTGGGACATAAAGTGACTAATCGCAGTGTTATCTGTCTTCACAATAAATGGAGACCCAAGCAAATAGTGGCGCCATTCTCTAAGGCAATGGACTACTGCCAATAGCTCTTTTTCATGCGCTGAGTAACGACAAAAAGTTTGCAAAAAAGTTTTCATAGGGTCACTAAAATTTAAAAATCACCCAAGTCATCATTGAACTTTGCAAAAGGTTTACACTTGGTCACTGAACTTTAAAAATCATCACATTCATCACTAAACTTTGCAAAAAAATTCAGTGATCCCTTGGGAAACCTTTTGCAAAGTTCAGTGACCCTGTGAATTTATTTTTTTTACAAAGTTTAGTGATGAATTGAGTGATTTTTAAAGTTCAGTGACTAGCGGGATAAGATAAAAATTCTTTACAGTGATTTTGTAGGCACGATGATCCCACTTTCCAACATTTCTCCCAATTGGTTCCGAAGCTCTTCAAGCTCCGACTGAGACATACAGTAGGGTGCCCTGGAGGGAAGTTTGGTATCTGGAATAAGTTCAATCTCATGATCGATTGCCCTCATTGGTGGCAACTTCTTTGATAACTCATCCGACATGATGTCTTGAAATTCCTTAATAAGCCTTCTGACCAAATTTGGAATAGGACCAGTTGCCTCCTCGATCTCTTCTAATCGAAGAGTGCACAAAAATGAGGGTTCATTTCTTTTGAAACCTTTACCAAATTGCATGGCCGAGATACTCTTCTCGCCCATCTTCCCCGGTTGGGTGGTGATGTCGCACGGTTTACTACCCATCATCATCAATGAATCGAAATATGGCAACACTACTGTCTTAGTGTCACGAAGAAATCTCAATCCCAAAATAAGCTTGAAGTCATCCATCTGACAGTCGACAAATTTGTCCTTCTTTCGAAAGGACCTGCTTTGATTGACACAAATTGTGCTACTCCTACTATTGGTTGAGCAGCGGAGTTGATTGCTTTGACCTTTCTGTTACCTTTTTCCAGAACAAGTCCAAGCTGCTCTACTTCGGTACTTGCAAAGTAGTTGTGGGTAGCATGGGTATCTATCATAGCCCTGATTGGCTTTCCATTGATCCTCACATCAATTCCGAGCCGCTCTACTTCGGTACTTGCAACATAGTTGTGGGTAGCACCGGTATCTATCATAGCCCTACTGGCTTTCCATTGATCCTCACATCAATGTATATTAGGCCTTTCGCCCTACAAATACAAGCATTCGATTCTTCCATCATTACCTCTTTTGAAGGAACATTTTCCTTTTTAGTAGCCCGTTGCGATAGTGTATTGTACCGATGTGAGAATACACCAACTGCATTCTTATCCTCTTCGGAATCGGTCTTGCTGTGACAGCTAGCTTTGGGGACTTCTTGCTTTGAACTCATTCCGCTGCTCACTGCTGACAGTATGCATTCACTATCCATTACTGAGGACACTCAGCCACCCGATGGGGTCATTCACATAAAAAGCACATCAACTTAGGAGTAACATCAGATTGGCCCTCCGTTGCTTTTCCTTTATTCCAACCATAACTGTTGCTGCCGTTATAGTTTCTTTGACGGCTATTTTGATAATTCCCTTGAAAGTTACAATGGCGGGTGCCTTGACAGGCTCCTTCCTTGTTATTAGAGGAATGCTCTTCCCCATTTGAGTTCGAGCTGGGTCTATAAAGTTTGTTTCCACTTCCAATAGCTTGACTATTCCTTGAAGGTCGATCTTTTCTCGACTCGGGCTGATAGTCACTTAAGCATTCAACGGCTCCCATGGCCGCACTCAAATCAGTGACCTTCTGTCTCTGAAGTTCCGTGTGTGTTCACAATTTCAACCCTTCCATGAAGGTGAATAGCTTATCCTCCAGCATATGCTCTGAAAAGGCTTTCACAAACTCTCTGATGGAGATTGTATGTTTTAGTTCTCACAGTGAACGTCGTGTCCGATATCCCACATTCTCTGAGAAAAAACTGAGATCTAATTGTTTCCTTAAGGAGATCCCAAAAATCTATTCGAACCCTATTAGCCTGAATGTCAGCATACTTTGTTTGCCACCATAGTTTTGCATCTCCACCAAGATACATGGTAACTGTTGTAATTTTTCTTGCTTCATCTTTGATCGAAGCTACAAGAAAGTGTTGTTCCATATCAAACAAGAAGTTCTTGACTTCTTTTGCATCGCGTGCCCCTCCGTAGGTATACGGTTCCAGAATTCTGAGCCTAGGAACATGCTTTCGTGCGGGAGCTTGCCCATTGTCAACTGCATATTGGAGAACTAGTAATTGAGCTCTCAATGCTTCCATTTCTTCCCGCAGATTGGTAGGATAGCAACAACTTCATTCATTGCTGTGCAACCTAGATGTGTAATTCATGAATTTTTGCCTCTGTCGCCTCGACTTTTTCCTCGAGGTTATCCGCGGCATAGCACAACCTAGTGGTTGTCATCTCAAGTGCATCCACACGCTGTTTCGTGTTCTTCTTTTGAGAATCTACCACCTTCGTGGTGTTCGATTCAATTGGATCCATAACTTTCTTATCGAGGGTCTTGAGCCGCAACTTTGATACCAACTTTCACGAGGTGTCTTTCTTTTTGGCACGGAAAGGGACACCGTGCGGCAGTAATTTGCTCCGCTAGACTACCTTCCGCCTTCTCTTGGTAGTTCCGGGACAAAAGAAAATTTTATTACAATTTGTAGAAATCTTATAACATGAAATTGAAATGCATTGAATGTAAATGGATCATTGATTGCTTGAAAGCTAGAAATTACAATTGATGAAAGCGAAAAATTACAATGGCTAGTGCAGGGGGCAAACACTAGAAAGGTTGAAAGATTATTTGAAAGGCTAATACCCCATATAATGGCGAACACCAGAAAGCTTAAAAGATTGTTTGAAAAACTAATACCCCATAAAATAGCATTCTGAACAAAAACCTAAGTGATAGGAGTTGACGTTTCAATGCCGAGGAATCATACTAAACATTTTCCAATATCACAGCTATTTTACAATTGAAATAAAATATTTATGATGTACGTCCGAAGTTGGGCAAATTGCGGCTGCGATTGGGTCAAGGAGCTAGTTGAAGCTACTGTCCTTGACACCAGGTCTAGCACCACCAATGGAACGAGAGATGCTACGATTTTTCTGAATGAACATTATGAGGAAAACTGAAAAACGGAGATGACTATGTTTGGTGAATGATCGATTTCAATCCAATTAAGCAGAACTTGTAGAGTTCTATGAGCTGAAAAATATTGACCAACATGTTGAATAACCGTGAGATGGCTAAAATTATTTTTCGTTTTCTGTTTTAAGAGCTTGGTTGCAATACAGATATTGAAATTTTGGTGAAGACACCATTAGGAAACACTCCTACTCCTTGAATGCAAAAAGAAAAAAATGGTAGATTTTGAATGCTAAAGAAGAAGCGATGGCGGAATGTTTGAAGAGAGAGATACTGGGATTGATATTCTAGGGAAAGTGATTTAGAACAGCACAAAAATTCACTGACATTCCTTTAGAAATGCAATCTAGTTTTGTCAATTTCTTCTTAACAGTTTCCCTTCACTCTAGAAATGAGAACAAAATGTAGACACGACAATACACTGTTGTTCCCTCTTAGTTTCACTTCCATATGATGAACCTTGGCCACATTTGATGCCTTCATTCTTCCCATTTATTTGTTCCACCCAATGTGGGAAATTCAATAGAATAGATTATAGATTTCTACTTTCACGCGATTTATTCTAACACAACAACAACTACAGTCCTAAATTGTGTAGAGGAATGCTATTCGTCACCACTGACGTTAAGCACCAGTTTAGGTGACAATTGCATGCATTAAAAGTCACTCGACTTATTTAATTGAACCTATAAAGTGTAGCCACATAAATTGGTGCCACGATCAATCAGATCACAAGAATAAATACAATATTTGGATTAGGGGTGTCCAAAAGTCCCGAACCGAACCGAGTAGTTCTTCATAAATTAAATATCCGANTACTTTATGTAGTTTTGATGTAATATTAATATCTACTTTTTGGTATTTGTATGCATTGAATTAATTTTATTGGACGGCTAGTTATTTATATGTTTTTGATTTGGGTTACGTTAATTTGTAAAAGTTATGAATGAAATGTTATTGGTTGTATTTATGTAGTGTTGCTGTAAATATTAAAAAAATTGATTATGGTACGGAACTGAACCAACCCGAACGGAACCGAACCCGAACGGTTCCATAATTATAGTTAGACCCGACGAGTCCATTTATTAAATACCCGAAAGTTTTGGGTCAGTTGGGGTCTCTTTAGAATCGAACCGAACCGACCCACGGACAGACCTAATTTGGATGATGTTTGCACAAGCTATTAGACTTGGGAATAATATTCTTGTCAGTTCGGCTCCTGCAAGTGTCACGTTGTGAAACCTAATTATTATCATTCTATGGAGTCAAAATTTCATTAAGGGCAATTTATACATTTGTGTCCTTGTAAATTTTAACTTAGGAATTTGAGTCCTTTAAATTTCAATTTTGCCCTTATTTGTCTTCTAAATAGAGAGCTTTCATTATGCTTTTAAATTACCCCCATAAAAGAGAGGAAGAGAGGTTGGAAAACATAAGTGTGTGACTTTCTCGTATAAATTTTTTATCACAATTAATTACAATAGTGGCAGAAGAGAAATTAGTCTCACATTGAGGCAAACGTTTGCGTTTTTATTTCTTCTACTCTCTCCGTCCCATAAAAAAAAAGTCCTATTTTTTTCACACCGATTAAGAAATTTAGTTAAGACAATTGAAATAATAAATTTTACTATTATCATTTTTCATAATTTACCCCTACATCAATGTAATTAACATTCAAGGTAATTAAATTATACATGCAATATTTAAGGTAATTAACATTCCAAAGTCATCCAATACAAATGAGTAAATTAAATGACAGTCTTCTACTTTACCCAAACAGCAATAGTTTAAGCGTGGATATTTTCCCTAACGTCGCTGTAGGAAGAAAGTACCATTTACATCCAATTTCACGATGTGAAGTAAAATCCATGCTATATAGTGAAGCCAAGGGTAAACTTCGTACAACAGCTTTAATAGAAATTTCAACTTCAATGACGCAGCTATCTCCAACGACAAATCCTTTCTTAGGGTCATTTATGTCAGTGATCGAAATGAAATTTGACCATCCCAAACTGGGCCAAGAAGGCGAAAACCAGCCATTAATGTCTGCAAAGAAATTGAATGTACATAGCATGACATATATTATAATCAACTTAAAAATTCGTACAACGTGAATTGGTTCAGTTTATATGAATCTTTATGATGTATTATAATTACAAAATATGTAAAATTCCTTATTCTACAAGGAAACATAGATAAATGGCAATGTCAGCAATTTATGCAAAAGGACTTTGATCAAAATTCGTCTTACTTGCCTTAAAAATTAACATTGACTTCTTCATTCATTTGAAATTTGAAGTTAAGTTTCACACACACATACATATATTGTTTAGTTTCAACTTCATTTTAGTCTTACCACGATGCTTGCGATCTGCACCGTTTAGTTTCAACTTCATTTAGTCTTACCACGATGCTTGCGATCTGCACCATCAAACTGGTTTTTCATGCATATGGTGAAATCCGCTTTCAGTTTTTGATAGGAAGACTGTCTTTCCATACCAACCGCATCCAAGAATATCGAAACACAGTGCCCTCTTGTTCACCATATCCTTTCGTATCCACACAAAGCTTCCTATGTTAACCAACAAAATTGGAAGCACTAAGAGGAAAAAAGGTTAAAGAGCTGTACAAGAAAACGGGCATAAAGAGATACCATTCATGTTCTCCAGTGAATCAGTGATGAATTCCTCAGAAAACCATTGATTTTCCATTACAGAGTAGTTTGATATCTTGAATTCTCGCGTATAGGAATCAGTTACTTTAAACAAAGACAAGCATTCTCCAATGCCTTTGCTCTTGATGACAAACACTTCCGCTCCAAATACACATTTATCATCAACAATGAATCCATTAGTGGGATCCATCAAATCTTCCTTCGCAACGAAATTGGAAAAGCCCCATTCAGGGTTTATAAGATGAAAACGTTGTTGACCTGCACGCAGAGAGGAGCAGCTAATATAATGACAGTTTAAGATTTTATATATAGTAAATGCTTTAATTTCCTATCGCTTTAGAAGTAGATATTACCTTTCATAAACATAAAATTGTCAAATTCGTGATTAAACAAAAAGATGCTGAAGAAGGCATTAAATTCCCAGCCATTAGGCAAAGAATTTATATCTGCTACAACCAAGTATGCAGAAACATGATTGCCTCCATCCTCTGTGTTTCGCCCATTAGGGTATATTATCAACTTCCTAAGTCAATGAAATATTCAAATTACAAACAAATAAATTCACATGAAACATTACAGAAAACAAATGGAGGTAAAAGGGTTTTGTACAAATGGTTATTCATAAATTTATGAATGAGAATCTTGATTAGAAGAAATACCATTTGTAGTCGCCTGATTCAAATTCACTTGATTCATACTTGTCAATACCATTTTTTGAAAGCAAGGAGAATGACTCAATCTTGAACAAGAAGTGTGCTGGAGAGAAATCTCTTGTTCCTACTGTAACTTCTACAACAATTTAACAGAAAAAACAAATGAATTTAATATCCCACTCTCTGTTGATAAATAGTAAAGAGTTTAGGTTAAGAATAAAGATTAAAGGTCGAAGGAACTCACCATTGTCAACACCAGCACTCGGACGAGGAGCCATTTTTTCAAGTTTACATACTTGTGCATACATAAGATCAATTCTTCATTAATTATATAATGAAGATTTCTTGGGGTTTGCCGTGACTTTTCGACGGACATTTCTTGGGCTTTATGGTGACTCTTGGATTCTGCTGTTAATCAGGCTTATGATAACTCCACAGTAAAGTAGTGTTGTCCAAACTAATATTTATTTTATTTCTGATATTTACGGTGACTCTTAGGATCCGTTTGATTGCAAATGTGAAAATGAGAGGAAAGAAAATGTTTTATATGGAATTGATTTGCCTAGAAATTGTTTTATTGAGAATTGTAATTAATTGTGTTTGATTGGTATAATTTTTCATTGAAAATGTTGAAAGTTTGGTGTCCGTTTGGGTTCTTTTTTTATGAAAATTGTCCATTAAAATAATAATGTTTTCTACCATTGGATCTAAAATTTGTTCCAATTCCCAAAAAAAAATTGAAAAATAAATAGTCATACCGAATACCATTCGTTTAGCTTTGTTTTGCATGAAAATTGTCAATAAAAGTGAATTTTTTTTATCATTGTGTCTAGAATTTTTTCCAATTGCAAAAAGAAATAAAAACCTGGAAAATATTTACTGACCAAACCATCAAGAATTTATTTTCCTCAAAAGGTGAAAAATTTGAAAAGTTTTTTTCCAATTTCCCAAAAAAAAAAAAAAAAAAATTCTGTAAAATATTTACCCACCAAAACATCAAGAATTTATTTTCCTCAAAAAAGTGGAAAAGTTGGAAAATTGGAAAATGAAATTTTTCCATTTTTCATGGAAAATGTGTGTGCTATCAAACGGGCCTTAGATCTTTCTAGTATTTATTTTATTTCTGCAAGTTTATACTCTGATATTATGTATCTTAAATCAATTTCGAAAATATTTTATTCCCATAGAATCAACAAAAAAGTTTTTTCCACTAGTTTTTTAATACAGCTAAGTATATTTTATCTTCTTATTAAGTCCCTATTTGAGCACCATTCCTTCAAATTTATTTCCATTCCCACATTCTCCTATTAAAATATTTTTGCGTGTAAGCATACAATTTTTTTCTAGTTTTAAACAACACATTGTCCGAAAAAATCATTTCTTACAAAATCTATTCTCAAATACTTACATGAACACTAAAAAAACTGATAACCATATTATGCATGTAACAAATCCCATTTGCACTATATAAATAACATCAAGGTCTCATGCATGTGGCGAGTTGAGATTTACTGTCCAACTTACTTGCTACATGCCTAATGATTCATTTATACATCACTTTAAATTAATATGTCCAACTTTTCTCACACTGCCATTTATGGTTAAAAATAGGTGTAAAATGATTTGTTTATGAATGAAATATATGTTTGAAAAGTTACGAGTTTTATGAAACGTGCGGTTTATAGAATTAATTTTAATTCTGACTTAAAACTAAAATCAGATTTTAATCTCTACCAAACATGGTCTACATGTAAGAAATCTAAACTCAAATATGTATATCTAACACGTATCTTACACGAATTGAAATTTACTTAATACTTCAAAGTTTTATAGCTTGAATAATATGAAATTAAAAGATTCTTATGTCAAAACTAAATAAATCGATCCTCAATATACAAATCCTATCTGGACATGGGTGGATCCACATGGGGTCATGTGGAGTCAAGTGACCTCACAAAATTTTTTGACTCTTTTTTTTTTTTTAACAAAAATTCTGTAATTTCTTTTTTTTTTTTTTATCAAATGTAAATTTCTTGCTTACGCTCAATGAGGGTCCCTTTTATTTGTTTATTTGATTATCTATTTGTTAGTGATATGAATTATTTAGTTTTGACTTTAAAAATTCTGTAAATATGAATTTAGTGGTGAAGAAATAGAGAGAATGATTTCAATTATAGAAGAATATTCACAGTTTCTAAATTCTTTTTGGACATTTCGGACAAGTAAAAATCACTAAGATTACAATTTACGTGTTCGATCCTTGCAGCCTTTTGGGGGGAGGGGTCTAATGTTCGATTTTGTTTGTCGTATATGATATTTGATTGAAATTAATAAGTGAGTTATTTTTTTCTATACTATATATTTGATTTTGTATGATTTTGAGGGTTGAACGTGATTGGGAAGATGAGGATTTCGTTGAAATTTGTATTTTCGATGGAGGATTTTTTGGAGTTCAAGATTTGGGCAGTTTCGAAGTTTAACGAAATTAGACCTCTTAGGTATAATTAGATTTGTCCTGACAACGTGTTAAAAATCGGATATTTAGATTAACGAATTATTGTCCGCGAATTTCAATTTCAGTTTCCTGCAAAATATTTACTTTCATCCTTGACTTCTAACCAAGTATGAAAATGCGTAGGCTACAATTATAGTAGTACATTGACTTATTTTCGTTAATATTATGTTGTTTTAAAAAATTGTATTTAATTTTTGATCCCACAATACAGAAAGTCTATGTTTACCACTGTGAATTATTATATATGTACCGAATTTTTTTACTGAATCTTTTACCTACTACTCACAATGGGGATTGACACCACATTGTCCGAATTTTTAAATACACGCGGGCCCCACACATTATGTGAGATGGGGCAATCCACTATGTACAAATCATTATGTACAAATGGATTAACCCTTACCACTATATCTGGGGTATTCAGATCATCTGAAATAAGGAAAACTTACTTCTGCTGCTGTAAAACTAGAATAGGATACATTCTCTATTTTTCAATATCGATATGAGATCCCAATATCCTTAATAAGAAAGATGTTTCTAATGGTACCGAGGGGCGGATCCAGCACCTGGCCAGCCCCCGCGGTCGCCCGTGCTGGGTCCGTCGAAGGCTGCAAGTTCTCGCCGGTGAGCTGCTGTTCGTCGAGGAAGAAGAATTGAAGAAGGAGCTACGCCTGGCGTGGCGAAATTTTTTCCCCCCCATGTTTTAATTTTTTTGGGCCTTATTTAAAAAAAAAAAGGCCCAATTAGTGATTAGCCCACAAAACCAAATCAATTTAACCCAATTCAATTACCAATTACCCATTCCCATTGTTTGTCCGGCAGAGAGAGGTATTTAGTTTTGACTTTAAAAATTCTTTAAATATGAATTTAGTGGTGAAGAAATAGAGAGAATAATTTCAATTATAGAAGAATATTCACAGTTTCTAAATTCTTTTTGGACATTTGGGACAAGTAAAAATCACTAAGATTACAATTTACGTGTTTGATCCTTGCAGCCTTTTGCGGGGAGGGGTCTAATGTTCGATTTTGTTTGTCGTATATGATATTTGATTGAAATTAATAATTGAGTTGTTTTTTTTCTATACTATATATTTGGTTTTGTATGATTTTGATGGTTGATTGTGATTGGGAAGATGAGGATTTCGTTGAAATTCGTATTTTCGATGGAGGATTTTTTGGAGTTCAAGATTTGGGCAGTTTCGAAGTTTAACAAAATTTGACCTCTTAGGTATAATTAGATTTGTCCTGACAACGTGTTAAAAATCGGATATTTAGATTAACGAATTATTGTCCGCAAATTTCAATTTCAGTTTCTTGCAAAATATTTACTTTCATCCTTGACTTCTAACCAAGTATGAAAATGTGCAGGCTAAAATTATAGTAGTACATTAACTTATTTTCTTTAATATTATGTTGTTTTAAAAAATTGTATTTAATTTTTGATCCCACAACATAGAACGTCTATGTTTACCACTATGAATTATTATATATGTACTGAATTTTTTTACCGAATTTTTTACCTACGACTCACAATAGGGATTGACACCACATTGTCCGAATTTTTAAATACATGCGGGCCCCGCGCATTATGTGAGATGGGGTAATCCACTATGTACAAATCATTATGTACAAATGGATTAACCCTTACCACTATGTCTGGGGTACTCAGATCATCTGAAATAAGGAAAACTTATTTCTGCTGCTGTAAAACTAGAATAGGATACATTCTCTATTTTTCAATATTGATATGAGATCACAATATCCTTAATAAGAAAGATGTTTCTGATGGTACCCAGGGGTGGATCCAGCACCTGGCCAGCCCCCACGGTCGCCCGTGCTGGGTCCGCCGAAAGCTGTAAGTTCTCGCCGGTGAGCTGCTGTCCGCCGAGGAAGAAGAACTGAAGAAGGAGCTGTGCCGGGCGAAATTTTTTCCCCCCATGTTTTAATTTTTTTGGGCCTTATTTAAAAAAAAGGTCCAATTAGTGATTAGCCCACAAAACCAAATCAATTTAACCAAATTCAATTACCAATTACCCATTCCCATTGTTTGTCCGGCAGAGAGACGGGGAGATTGGAGAGTAGACAACGATTAGGGCGAAATCGAAGGTTGACGATTACCCATTGACTGTGACTGTGGTCGGTGGATGGTGCGTGGTCGGAGGTTGGTGGACTGCAGTGCCGGCTGCTGGAGCTTCGAAAATCGAAATCAAAGGTAAGAATCTTTTACGGTTTTACCTAAAATCTTGGATTGTTTACAAATGATTTTAAGAATCTTTTTTTTCCGAGGAATAGAAATGGAGGAAAGACTTGCTTATGTAATTATGTTTAGCTTGCATTTTTACTTTTATGGCATTTTCATCTTTTTCTTTGTAGGAGCCCGAGCCTAGGAGGTAGTTATCACTTAGCAATCTTATGTAGTTATGTTATCTTGGACTTTGTTTACTTTCTGGCAGTATGTTACTTTCTGGCTAGATGGATGTTAGACATCAAATTATAGAACTCAGTGGAATATTGATTAAGTATTTGCATGTTCACAAATCACAATCCAATAAATAGAACGTAATAACTGTATAAGTATTAACTACCTTTTGTATTGTGTAACGTGAATTGTGATTTGAGAATTTAGGGATAAGTGAAAAAAATTAATGGTGGAGATGTTTTGCAGTTGTCTAGATTTACAGTTACCGAGTAGGATTGTATTTTTTTTTTTTTAGTATTTTGGGTTGTACTGAAATATATTTTTATATGTATATACATTTTATG